GAGTGGAAGCGAGCCTTGTCCTTGTCCTGGATACCCAGGTCTGGTGAAGGTAAGGTGGCATCGGAAGGGGGTACCACATGCCTCCTGGAACCACGGCTCAGCCCTGGACTTCAATTTCCCCTCAAACTGAAAAAGCCTCAAGTCTATTTGCAAGGTCTTGGTGGAAGCCTTGCGGCACTGGGGTAGCAAAGTACCATACGTCACCCAAAGGACGGCCGTCACAGAAGCATCCTGACCCCAGGCTTACCCTGGGCAGCTGTTTGGGAACCCAGCTCACAGCAGGGAAAGCAAGCCCTGAAGTCAGTCGTAGAACCAGTTGAACAACCGTGTGCTTGCCAGCTTCCTGCCCGAGTGCCCACACTGGTCCTGACAAGGTCTGGAACGAGCCACCTCAGTGAGAAAAATCAAGAGGAGGCTGAGTCCAACCAAATGGGGAGGAGAGAGTGGACCTTCACGCTGGCTCTGCTCCAAACCTGCCGACTGGGCGGGAAAGAGAGGAAAGGAAGAAGCCTGACCCCTCAGCAAAAGAAGTCAGCAGAGGAGAGAGAGCAGGAGAGGATGTCAACAAAATTCTGGAAAATGGAATGCAGACAGATGAGGGTTTAGCTTTCTCCCCACAGCTGAGGGTCTGGGGAGGGGAAGAAGCAAGCTCAGCAGAGCCTCGAACAATCTTAGCCTATGGAGCCACTGAACACCTCCAAGACAGGAGCAAGTGTGAGGCTGAAACCAGGCGGGCTGGTTGAAAGCTTTATGAAGAGGAGGTCCCCTCCCTTGCCACATGAGAAGATCGGCACCATACTCTGTACCACTCTCCTCCCTCCACCTCTGCTGCTAAACTGGAGAGACTGAAGGTGGTGTGTTGGGGGCCGGGGGAAGTCCGGCATAGCCCTCTCCTCCCAACCCCCTTCAGCTTCTCTTCCCTGTTCTGCTCTCAAAACACTGACTGCCAGGCTTTCAGCCTCCAGGTAGGAGACTGGGAGGGTCCTTCACTGGGAAACTGACTGGCCCAAGAAAAATGACGTACATATTCTTCTATTTGGGGGTCCCCATCATCAAAGCCAGAACCTTATCCCATCCTTTTTTTGTGAGACCCTCCAAGAAACCAGCTCTGCATCTACACGGGGTTTCCATCAGCCATTAAATGCCTCCTTCTTAAATAGGACCAGACAGCCAAGAATCAAAGTCGTTTGAGGGAAGCCTTAACTACGAGAAACAGAGACCAAAACAAACAAACAGAAAAAAATGAACTCCAAGGAAACAGAGATAATGTGAAGATTGGAATAAGAAAACAATTTTCATTATAATTACTACTCCCGGAGAGATATGAGAAGATAATTAATTCATGAAACAAGATGATATTATAAAAGGGAACACTGGATTAAAAACAGCTCTTGAAAATTAAAAATGATAGCAAAAATAGAGAAGGGTTGAAATTTCCCAGAAAAATAAAAGATAACAGGGGGAAAAAATCACTTAAAATTTAGAGAATTGTTTTGCGAGTTCTAACATCCAAACAACTGGAGTTCCAAAAAAGAGAACAGTTACATTGGAGAACAGTAACAACAAAATCATGCGGGAAACTACTCAACACTTAAGGACACAAGGTGCCAGACTGCAGGGCCCACAAAGGGCCCAGAACAAAGGAAAAAAACATGGAATGGAATTTTAGGATTCTGTTTGTCCGTTTGGGCACAAGTTAATGCTAAATATGCAGCACACCAAGAAAATGAAGAATGAGACAGATGTTTAACTCCGATAAAAACAAAAGGTGTGTAAGAAACATGGCACAGCATGTGGTTCAGCTATTAATACTATTTCAATAGTCACAATCATATAAACACTGAATAGTAATTTAACCAAAACATGGCATGTGGCCACATCAAGAGAATGGAGGAAGAGGGGCACCTGGCTGGCTCAGTCGGTGAAGCGTGTGACTCTTGATCTCAGGGTTGTGAGTTTGAGCCCCATGTTGGGTGTAGAGATTACTTAAAAATTAAATCTTTAAAAAAAAAATTTTTTTTTAAAGAGATTATGGAGGAGGAAAAGTGTGCGTGTGTGTGTGTCCGGTGTGGTGTGTAAGAGAGCTATATACTAATCTTCCATAGTAGGAAATAGTAGATAATACCTAAAACAGAAACACCATGAAATAAAGAAGTCTATTTTTTTAATTTAGGTTTAAATGATAGAACACATAAGACTTAAAAGTGGTTGTCTCTTGGGAATGGAACTTGATGAAGAAAGAGTGCAACAGGGCACTGCTTTTTACAGTATAGTACTCTTTGACTTTTTAAATTTTTTTTCTTTTTTATTGAGGTATAGTTACAATAATAAACAACACCTATTTAAAGTACACAATTTGATGTTTTGGCATGTATGCAGCACAAAGTGTCCCTTTGTAATCCCTCCTTCCCAGGATTACTCCTGGAGAAGCACATATGGGTGGCTGGAGCTCAGTGGCTCAACATTTCCTGCTTCTGTTTTAGTGAAGCAGGGAGTCTGTGCACTAGAAAGTGCAAGTTGCCCATATACCAGCCTGGGGAAGACACTTCACAGTACATCTTGGCCTTCAGCTCAAGAAGCACCTCCTCCAGGAAGCCTGCCATGACACCCTCCCTGTGTGCATAGTACCTTCTTTCAAGATGGAACTCTCCACTCTCTAGTGTACTACCCTCCTTCTCCCCTGCACCCAGTGACCTGTACATCAGCAAGGAGGGAGACCTCCTTCCATTCATAGGGCCTGGCTCAGAGCAGGTGCTCAGGAAATTGTAGAATGAATACATGAGATACAGAAAAGAAATGCATGGAAAGGTGAATAGGTGAGTAAATGCAAGATATTTTCCCATTGTCAATGATTTAAGGTTGTTTGTGTTAAAGATGGATGGTATTTCTTTAAGGACCATGCAAAAGCCCAGGAGAGGCTGAAATAGGAGGAAAGCTCAGAAACACAACTAGAGCTATTCATCCATTCTTGGAGGAGCCTGGGAGGCATCTGTTCCCTGTATGAAACCCTGTTCCAAACAACCCCCCCTCGACCCTTCTCAGATACCCAAGACTCACCTTGGGAGCCCTGGGAGGAGCTAACCGAAGCAGCTGGAATTGAGGTTCACTAGGGGGCACCCTTTCATCACACTGGCCCTGCCCCAAAGGCCACAGAAACCTGCCCTGGGCTCTTTTCTACAACGACCCTGCAAGCCCCCAGGGTGGGGGGAGGGGGCTCTTTACATGCCCTGCAGCCTCTTGCCCAATAACAGAGAGGGTCTTTCCAAGTAGCAGCGGCACGTCCACCAAACCGGTACCCCCTCAGTACGAGGTCGCTTTGCAGAAAAGGCAGGTATTTGGGGTCACATCAATGTTTCAGAATGATCTTCCCTTCTTTACTGTCTTGAATGTGTCTGTTCTTAGATCCCCGGCCCCAGCGTGATGGCTGCTCAGGTAAGAAAAAACTGAGGGGTACACTCCTGCGGTTTATCTGCTTATTCACAGGACTGAGGACTGTGGAGGTTCTGGGCTGTTATAGCCGCCAGAGCAGGGGGACGAGATGGGCCCAGTGTTCATCGCTCCCTCCCCAGTGTGGGACTGTACCCCCTGCAGGAATCATCCCAGCCTTGGGCCTGCAGGAACATCAGAAGTCAAGGGGCACAGAGGAAGACTAGGGGCTCAAGTGATATGTGCAGTTTGGAAAGTCAGGTCTCCTCCATTTTTTAGGACAGCACTCTCCTCAACCATTGTGAGGCTTAATTTCAATGATGCTCTGAGTCTGGAGGAATTAATCACCCAAACACACAGACTCTGTGAGGCTACCCATGCCTGATGGAGATTCTGGGCCTTGATACCTGGAATGGAAGGGAAGGGAGTGGTAAGAGAGGGTTGGGGGAAAAACGCGGATGGAGGAGGGCACAGAGAAGGGGGAATGCAGAAGAACAAAGAGAAGAAGGCTCTTAGCTTGGCTCTTGGAACTGGAGCATTGGAACTCCCATGCCAATGTCTAGGTTCTTCCTGTGAATTTGCTACCTGCTCCAGATTCTGGTGGGCTTCCTGTTTCCCATAACCTGCCAAAGGAAGTGTCCGGGGGAGACAGGCAGAGAGAATTCACAACTAGCAGAGTCTTCCTTTGATGTTGCCACCTGGGTCCTGGAGCCTCTCCTCCACCAATCAACCCTTTGGGAAATGAAGAGACCATTCTCTTCCCAGTTCCATGGCTGTTACAGCCCAGCTCAAAACCTGCCTATGAAGGTTTTGACCTACCTGTCTGGTAGGTCAGGACACAATGCCAGACTGAGGCCATATCACAGGCACAGACCCAAGCCGGAGCCAGGCCTAGGCTAAGGAGGATCCCTCGCTAAGCCCTGCACATACCTATGATGCAACCACGCCCGTAGGAGCTGAACTCTCCAGAGCAAAGGCATCAAGACTGGCTTACTCTGAGAACTGGGTCTACATCTTTCCTGGGCAGGATTCCAGACCAAGCCAGCCACACTGTCATCTGGGAAGAATCATTACTGCAGGGGGAGGGCTGTAAGAGAGAAGGGGACAAGATAGGTGGGGAGGCACAAAGCTGGGAGGAAGAAAGTACTGGCTCACTAGGCGAGCCTCTCTTCCCCTCCTGTAAGTGAAGAGGTACGGACTAGCCGGCTGGCCAACCCAGCGCCCGCCCGTGCACACCCGCCTCTGGCACTTCTGAGCTGTGCTGACCCTTTCACCCAACCACCTTGCACAGAGCCAGTGTGGCAACCAGCTCAGGCAAACTTCCCTGAGGCCCCCGGCTCTGCCCTGCCTGGGGAAGCCCTGCCCTCCATCCTTCTTACAGACAGGGGGAGAAAGGAAGGAGAAGGAGAAGAAGAGGACAAGGAGGAAAAGGAAGAAGGAGGAGGAGGAGGAAGAGGGAGAAGAAATGCGTGTCAATTTCCCAGCCCGGTTTGGGGATTCCTCCCTGCTCCTGTGGCTCTGGGACACAGAGGTGAGTACTCACGGAGGCGCATTTAGGTCTGCCGCAGGCTTACCCACTCCAAGAGGTCCTTCCTTGACTCTAGCTGCCTTGAGCAGCCCCTTTCTGCAACCATCTCAAGAATGTTTGTCAAGGGGCACCTGGGTGGCTCAGATGGTTAAGTGTCCACCTTTGGCTCAGGTCATGATCCCAGGGTCCTGGGATCGAGCCCCGCATCGGGCTCCCTGCTCCGCGGGGAGCCTGCTTCTCCCTCTGCCTCTCTGACTCTTATGGATAAATAAATAAAATCTTAAAAAAAAAAAAAAAGAATGTTTATCAAGCATTTTGTCAGGTGCCCCCCCAAATGTCCCTGAAAGACCATATGACCTTTCCCCTGATTTTGCAACGCCAGAGTGCACATGTCCCCGCCTACTCTCATACCTCCACCAAGTGTCTCCAGGAAGAATGCTGTCCAAGGGGTAAGGCCATCCGGGGATCTCTTCTTCTCTCTTCCTTTTCATTTCTAAAAGTTCTACCAAGTGTTTCTAGATGGGACAGAGGCATATTGGCCTTAGCTTTTCTTTGTGAGATGATCCTTAGATGGCCAAATATCCCTTAGCTTGGCACAAATGACTTATTTTCTCCTTTGTCTCAGAGCCAATCATTATTTGCAATGCAATATTTGGCTAACAAGTAAATCACACACACACATATACACATTTTCGGGGAGGGATTTTATTAAAAATTAACAATGTCCCTGGCTAGTAAATAGCTCTTTGAATGCACAAAGTTTTCTTGTCTCTGGTCACTCCAGCAGATCTGGGACTTGTAAACTTCATGGTGAGGGAAGGAGGAGAGGACCCTACTGGGGGGTAGGACTCAGCCTTGACTCTCCCGGTGGACAGGGGCCTGAGTCCCCCACACGCGGATGTTGGGAGGCCCAGTGTGGTCAGGGCTCAGGAATGGCACCCTGAACTGTGGGCATAGAGGAGAAAGGCAGGTGGGGAGGGCGGGTCTGAAGGGGTGTGTACCAGCACAATGGACGGGCCGAGTGGATAGTGGGGGAGTAAGGGTCCGAAGGGCAGAGGAAAGCACTTCATCCAGATAAAGAATAGCAGTCAGGGAAGGTCCCTGACTGGCAGGGGTGTAGGGGGAAATAAAGAAGAGACTGGAATGGAGAGAGGAGGGTTCCCAGGGTCTGTCCTGTCCCTTTATAGGGAGCCTGGATCCTGGTGGCAACAGAAGGGTTTTGAGAATGAAAAACTGAGCAGGCTGTGGTTACCTGGCTTCATCAACTTCTGCTCTGTGTGACCCTGGGGCAAGCTAATCAACCTCCCTGAGCCTTGGTTTCCTCGTGTATATCACAGGGATGATAACAGAACTCCCTGGCAGGATGATTTGGGAGGGCTGACAGGCAGGACGAGGGGAAAAGTGGGTGGTGGCACACCGTGCGCTCTGCGTGAATTTAGGGGTGCCGATAAGCACCTTTTTCCAGAAGAGCTGGACAGAGCGCCTGGCGGCGGGTGATTCAGTGGGTTAGGTGGATCAAATTAACCGGAAGATTTTCAACCCAGATTCACACTTCCTGTGGAGACAGGCCCTAAAGGAGCTGGCGAAGGTGTTGGTAAACAGTAACAGGACAATTCAAAGGTTGCCGCTGGCGGTGAAAGCAGTGGGGGTTAGGGAGCGGCTGGAGCTGGGAGCAGTCTTCTCTTCGCCGGGGCTGGGGTCCAAGGCAGGCAGGCAGGTACGGACATCTTTGCAGTCTTCCTCCCCTCGCGTACACACACACACACACACACACACACACACACACACACACAACCCCCGAGCCCCTCTCCCGCAGCAAAACCCAGAACCCCTCAGGGACACGCGACTGTCCATCTTCGGGGGTCGTTCCGCGGACAGGGATGAAGGAGTGAGCGGAAGGCGGGGACGGTAATGGCCGAGCGGATTAATTCGTCCCCAGCAGCCCGGAGCAAAGCGCGGCGGTGGGGTGGGGGAGGCGGGAGAGGCGCAGGGCGTCCTGGAGGGCCCTGCGCCGCCCGGGAACGGAGCTCAGGGGCCGGCCGCCGGGTCCGCAGCGCCGCCTCCCGGGAGGAAGGCGGGGGCCGGGAGGAGGGAGCGGGAGGAGGCGGAGGGCGGAGGAGGGCGGAGGAGGGCGGCGCGCTGAGAGGTTATTTGTGGTTCGCTTTGATCCCGAGGGGGAACCTGAAACTCTCACATTCCTGGCATAGCAGCCGCCTCCGGCGCGGGCCGACCCTGGGGCTGCGCGCTGGGGCCCGAGCGGCCAGAGCGTCGGCGCCACCGCCGAGTGCACACCTCCGCCGCCGAGCTGCGCCGGGCCGGGTCGGGCCGGGTCGTCGGGTCTGACTACGCCGAGCCCCCGCGGGCCGCAGCGGTAAGGAAGGCGGCTTGGGCGCTTCGGGGAGCGCGCGGGCGCGGAGAGAGGCGTCCGGCCCGAGCCAGGGCCCCCGCGCAGCCCACCCTTTTCCGGGAGCGGGAGCCCGACGCACCAAGCGTCCTCAGCGTGAAGTGCGCCCTTTCGAGGAAGCCGCAAAGGCGGCCCAGTCCGTTCCTCGCTGCGGGCGCCGGGCGGTGCGCCTGGGGCGGGGGCTCTCGCTGGCGCGCCGGTCCCCTGGGGCGGGGGGAGGGGGCAGCCTTTGCGGAGAGCGGGGTCCTATGTTTTGGGTCGTGGGCTGGGGAGAGGGGCGCGGAACAGGGCAGGAGGCGCCGCTTCGCGTTCAAGTTGCAGGGCCCTGGGGTTGAACTGGTTAGGTGGGGGTTACAGGTGTCTTTGCCCCCAACTAGTCCAAGAACTCCTCTTTGTCTTCCTTGGAAAATCCTCTCTGGAGCCACGGAATGGCTCTCACTTAGAAAGAATGCGGCCGGCCGTCCAGCCCGGTGACGTCAGCGTTGGAGCATTTGGAAAACAAAGAGGGCTCGGGAGGCCGGGAGGGAGGCGGACCCGCGACGCTTAAAGAACTCCGTGGGCTACCGGCTACCCTCGGCTGCTCGCTCTGGGCGCACCGGCGGCCTCCGGGGGTTCGTGGTCGGCTTGGAGTCCGGGTAGAGCGGGATCCCGGGCTGGGATGCAATCTGACTTAGAGCCCCTCGTCTGGGTTCCTTAGGCGAGCGTGAGCCCCAGCGAGAGCCAGAGTTGCGTGCTTACTTAGGAAGCGGGGAGGGGGGGATGGTTGCAGGGAGCCGGGTGCGCTGGTGCAGCAAAGGTGCACGGCTGGGGTCGTGGTCCCGGATTTTAGTAACGGCTCCGCCGAAAGAGTGTGCATCTGAGGGGTCTGACGGGGGCAGACTCGGCTGAGAGGCCCCGGACGTGCTCCCCGCTCCCAGGCACATTGCTGCGGGGAGGAGACCAGGAATCTGTCCAGAAAACTCTGCATTCCCTCACCTCCCCACCCCCGCCCCGTCGTTCTCAGCGGGAGTCAGCCCAGACTGATTACTTTAGGAAATGCCCCGCGGCTGAAACTCTAGGGCGAATTGATTCCAGTTTGTTTTGCCTCCGGTAACTCTGGAGTCTTGGCATCTCCACACCTACCGTGTGTAGGGAGAGGGGGCGGCATGATTGGGTGCCAAGAAGGATGGGGACAGAGATGCCTTCCAGACTCATCCCCCTCTCCTCCTTTCTGGGCAGCCAGGAAGGAAGCCGGGTGAGGGGGGGCAGCCTTCCAGGACCTGAGCCACTGAGAGCCCAAGCTCAGAAGGGAATACCTTCCTCAGGAGATACTCCCTGCACTTTAGGCTTCCAGCCCCCAGCCTCAGGTCCCTGCAACCAAGAGCCTCTTTCTTGCTCCCTTACTCCTCCAGTTGGCTCAGATGGGTGTTACTGATGTCAAGATGCTGAGTGCCTACTCCCATGTGGCAGAGGACCAGGGGGGTCTTTTCCAAGTAGCAGGTGTGTGTGTGTGTGTGTGTGTGTAGGAGGGACAGTCATCAAATCAAAGACATGGTGCCATACTTTGTTTTTCCTGGAGCATCCATGCAATTGCTGTCAGCACACAGACTGTGTGACTGACCCATAAACCTCGATGGGTGATCTCTTTGTGCTTCATTTCACAAAACCACGGTCCTGTGGTAGCCTCTCTTCTCTCATCCCTTATTCACCAAACCAGATGCATTTTTTCACCTTGCAGAGTCACTGCCAAGGTCATCCCATGACTGGGAGGGTTCAGCATGGCAAAGGGGGTGGACGGTGGTGAGTTAACTGTCAAGGCTAGGGCTCAGGCATGCTGCATTCTAGGGGGGGTTGGGGGCTGTTTGCCCAGGGCTTCTACTAGGCTGGACTCATTCTTTATCACCTGCCAATAAGCTGGGGCCCTGTCTACCCCTGGACTGGCCTGCTCAGTGGTCATAGCTGAGCTACCCCTGCCCTGGAGTATCTCGTCAGCCTTTTCAGTGGGAAGCTGACTGCAGGAGGCTGTGGTCCCTGGGTGGTTGATTACCTTCGAGGTGACTGGTGTCTGTCTGTAGGCCTAGTAAGTCCCCGCGAATATGACTGTAATGACAGCCTCCGCCCAGGATTTACAGTGTACCAGGAGCTCGGCAGCCATTGCCTGGCTTCATTTTCAACTCCATGAGGCAAGCATCATTCTTTACATTTTTCTGATGGGGAAACTGAGTCTCGAAGGGTAGGTAACTTGCCTTAATCAGTAGGTGGCAGCACTGGCAACTGAGCCTTGTGTGATCCTCCACTCTCTGCCACTATGCTTGGGACCGTGCCGTAATGGAAAGTACCCCCTGCCCTCTTTCCCGCGTGCTCCCCCTCATTGCTCTTCTTTCTCTCTTCCCAGGTGCCGTGGGGCCAGGTGCCACCGGCCGTTGTCCAGGCGGGTGTGTGCCAGCCAAGGAAGCATGAGGACGCTGGAAGACTCCTCCGGGACAGTCCTGCACCGCCTCATTCAGGAGCAGCTGCGCTATGGCAACCTGACTGAGACGCGCACCCTGCTGGCCATCCAACAGCAGGCCCTGCGGGGTGGGGCCGGGGCCGGGGGCACAGGGAGCCCCCAAGCCTCCGCGGAGATCTTGGCACCCGAGGACACTCAGGTGCTGCAACAAGCCACAAGGCAGGAACCCCAGGGCCAGGAGCACCAGGGCGGTGAGACCCACCTGGCAGAGAACACCCTCTACCGGCTGTGCCCACAGCCCAGCAAGGGTGAGGAGCTGCCCACCTATGAAGAGGCGAAGGCCCACTCACAGTACTATGCGGCCCAGCAGGTGGGGCCCCGGCCACATGTGGGGGACCGGGATCCCCGAGGGGCCCCAGGAGGCCATCGGAGTCAGGATGAGGCCTTGCGGGAGCTGCGCCATGGGCATGTGCGCTCCCTGAGTGAACGGCTCCTGCAGCTGTCCCTGGAGAGGAACGGTGCCCGAGCCCCCAGCCACATGAGCTCCTCCCACAGCTTCCCGCAGCTGGCCCGCAATCAGCAGGGCCCCGCATCCAGGGGCCCCCACACCGAGGGCCCAGAGCCCCGTGGACCTCCGCCTCAGTACCCACACGTTATGCTAGCTCATGAGGCCGCCACCGCTGTCACCGACCCACGATACCGCACCCGCGGGAGCCCACACTTCCAGCATGCCGAAGTCAGGTAACTGCCCAGCCTGGTCTTTCGAAAGCTCTTGACTCTCTTCCAGCACTTTCCGCCCCCCGGGGTGGAGAGCCTCCAGACAACACCTTGTGCCATGGCTGGCAAGCACCGGAGGAAGGCCGTTGGCTACCCCTCTCCTTCCCAAGGAGGAGGGGCTGATGCCTGGAGGAGAGTAGGACTTAGCCCAGGTCACAGGAGAACTTAGTGGTGTCTTTTGCTTTCATTTGGAGATGGATGCCATTGTGTGATTAGCTGTAGCAGTCAAGTAACTAGGGTTCCCGGGGGGTACCAGTTACAGCAGAGGGTTAAAGGTTAGGTTTTTGAAAGAACTTGCTAAAGATGAAGGTTGGGAATCATTGCCAAACTGTTTCCAAGCTAAGTGGGGAGAAGGTGGGACCTCCTCCTCTGGAGATTGTTAAGACCAAGTGGACAGTCGGCTTTCTGTGGTTAGTGGGAGGCACTGCCAACTGGAGGCAGGAAGGACCAGATGGCCTCCTTAGAGACCACTCCCTGTCCTACACCAGGGCGGGAGCTGCCCTCTTGCTACTTTGCCTTTCCTTTCCTATGCTCCAGGTGGCTGGAGCCCTTAGGGAAGAGGACTTGGGGTCCAGGCGAGCCCCTTTCTGGGGAGCTCGGAAAAGGCTGCTGGGGAATGTAGAGCTTGATTCTGAGTGTGAAGGGAAGCCTTGAGAGGATACAATTTGGCTTACCTCTTTAAAAAGGTCCTTTGGGCTGCAGGTAGAGAGAAGGGATTCTCAGGGGCAAGAATGGAAGCAGGAGACCAGGAGGAGGCAGAAAGCCCGGATGGTTTGCAGGAATACTGGTTCCTAGAAATGCAGCTCTGCCCCAGGCTTCTCCCTTGGCCTGGCCCCTTCTGAGAAGGGGATACACACTGCTCGGTTCACACACCCCATCTCCCCGCGTGCTGGTCCCGGAAACCCCACCAGAGGGTCCTGAGGATTTGCAGCCTCCTTTCCTCTGGAAGGCTCAAGGTCGAAGTCTGGTTCTCTTCATGCTTGCTGAGTCTTCATTTAGTCACCCGCTTTCCCACCGTTTGGCCTTTTCCCAGCATAGATGCCTTTCCTTGCTCTCGAGAAACGAGTGACGCCATGCTGTTGGTATGGAGGAACCAGAGGATGGAGCCTTGTGGGTTTTCTCCAACCTCCACTTCTCGTGCTCCCCTCCCCCACCTTAGCTCCTTTCTCAGAGCTTGGTCAGGGAGAGTTTCGGAAGCTGAGGCGCGGGTTTCTTCTTTTGGAGGAGCCTTATTGGACCCTGTCAGGAAGAGATAATATCGTGGAAAGGAAGTAGACCACAGGAGAACAAAAAAGGGAGGGTAGGGAGGGGCAGAACAGGGGAATGGAGAGCAAGTGTGAAGGGAAAGGAAAGCTCTATTCTTTCTCAGAGCTAAGTCATCCCCAAAGAATGCCAGTTGTGTCTGCCTGGCCCAGTGCAGGGGGAGAAAGTTGGTGAAGCAACCCCGAGAATGCCACATTTAGCAGCGCAGGGGAGTTTGCACATTCCAATGGGGACCCTCTGCTCAGCTCTCCCTGGAAGCTCCACCTTAGGCGGTGAGAGAAAGAGAGATCACAAAAGGATTGTTCATTGGGAACCTGGGGGAGGGACTTTTCTTTTAGCCTAGGGTCCTCAGGGGAGCAGGAGAAAGGAGGCTATAGCGGGAAGGGAGGTGATGGACCCACGAGTGGAATTCAGTTCTCGTGGAGCATCTGGCACTTGGAAAATTCCTGGTGAAACGGAGGCAGTCTGTTCTTCTACACTTGGGAGCCCCACGGCCCCAGAAAGGCTCTGTGACCAACCTCCACCCCCATGCCTCTTGCTCTTTGCTCCTTCCCTTAATGGGGCTCTGAGGGTGACATGACAGCATTGCTAGAGGCCAGTGGAACATTGTCCCTAAACTCGGGCTGTTGCGGTGGTTCAGCGGGGGCCCCTGTGCCCAAGAAAATCCAGTGTGTGGGTCACATTTGCTCTTTAAACAGACACTATGCTGCAGTCCCACTGGGAGAGGTAGAGGATGGGCCGCCATGGCGGGAGCACGTGCTGTGGGCCCAGCCTCCTGCCGGGCTTTGTGTCGGCCCGGCCAGCCCCTTGCGGCGGGAAATGCTGACCCTCATGATGTGGCAGAGGCATGCCAGCGCCCCGGGGATTTGAGGGCCAATTTTGTCAGACTTGGGAGCTCAGGCTCTTCCCCCCCCCCCCCCCCGCCCCCGCCATCTATCTCACCACTCTGCCCTTAGCCACAGTATTCAAAATATGTTTCTGCGACGGGTGAGGGGACCCGAAATAGGAGGGAGGAAAACGTGGGTGTGCTGCAGTGGCAGGTGCTTTAAACAGCCACCAAGTGGCCCAGGGGCCTGGGTGGCTGTGCGCTCAGTCATGATCGATGTGGCCTCCAGACCCAAAAAGAACCTTCTGTGGATTAGAAAGGTCAAGTGCGCATTGCTTGAGATGCCTTGTTTAAGTGCTGGTGGCTCATAAGGTCCAGGACTACTCAGGCTGATCCCCAGGGCCTTGGCCACAGTGCTGCGAGGTGTGAAACAAGCATCCTGATGTTAACCCCCGCTAGCCCCGCTCCCTTGGCCCTCGAGGGTCTTGGGTAGACGCCACTGGTCACCGCCTGGTGTTGTGTGGAGGCTCCCCAGTGTGCCAGGAGGGCTGGGAGCCATGGGGGTCTGGGCAGCCTCTGAACGCCGTCTGTCCTGTTCGCCAGGATCCTGCAGGCCCAGGTGCCTCCTGTGTTCCTCCAGCAGCAACAGCAGTACCAGTACTTACAGGCGCCCCAGGAGCAGCCCCTGCCGCCACACCCAGCGGCCCTCAGCCACGGCCCCCTCGGCTCCCTCAGTGCACCTGAGGGGGAGGGGCCAGCGAGCACCCCGGCCGCCGCCGCCGCCTCCTCGGGCGGTGCCCACCTGGCCCAGGTGGAGACTGTGCTGAGGGAGAATGCCAGGCTGCAGAGGGACAACGAGAGGCTACAGAGGGAGCTGGAGAGCTCAGCAGAGAAGGCCGGCCGCATGGAGAAGGTAGGCCCTGCTGGGGCCCCAGAGGGGCGGGGTGGGGGAGGAGCTGCTGCCCACCCCCTCGTCCTTCCCATGCCCTACCTCGCTGACTCGGGACAGCTGGGGAGCAGCCTCAAGGCCAGCAGAGCAGGCCTGGGGTGTGAGCAGTTGCTAGCCGGTGGTGATTAGAAAGAGCCCATTCACCAGCTCCCTGCACACACCCCCTCCTGCGGACACCTCCCACAGAGAGCCCTTTGTGTCCCCCACACAACAGCCAGTCTGTTCTAGGCCAGCCCTGGCCCAAGCGAAAGCCCCTCCTCTTGGAAAAAACGGGCTACTTATTGGAATCCCAGGCCAGCTCGGAGCACGTGCGGAACCTGCCAGCCGCCAAGTGGGAGGGGCAGCTGGGGCCAGACTGGCCCTCTGCAGTGGACGGTGATGGCCAGAGGAGGAAATGCTCCAGCCAGAGGCAGCTCAGGCTGGGGGCTGGTGCCCCGTTCTTTCGTGAAGGTTTACCAGCAGTGTGCGTTCAGCTTTGACAGGTGGCCTCGGGCCTCCTGTGGCTGTCCCGTGATGTCCCAGTTAGCTCAACCCCCCAGAACACGGCTGGAGTCTTTTTGTGCCCAATCCTGGCGTCTTTTTGTGCCCAATCCTGGCCGACAGGGCTCAGATTCTCAGTAGAACCTGGACAAAAGCAAAATGCTTCTTTCTGGATGTCGGGCGCAGAAAGGCTGTGTTGAGTCCCTCTGAGGCAGCCACTTCCAGAGACTCAGCCCTGGGTCACTCAGCATTGGGACCTTGGCACAACTGAGGGGACCCTTGCTTGCTGGTTCTAGTGTCTGATTCATCTCTGGAGGCCACAGGCTTCTGACCGTCCCACTCTAGCCCCCTGGATTGTTTTGCTGTTGCCTTTGACCCTCTCCTCTCGCACCCTTTCTGCTGGAGAGAGCAGAGCTGCCCGGGCCTGTGGATGGGCCGCTGACGCCACGCACACTCTGGGCTCTCTCCCCTTCCTTCAGCTCTCCTGTCTGCCTCTTGCAGCTGGAAAGTGAAATCCAGAGGCTCTCTGAGGCCCACGAGAGCCTGACGAGAGCCTCTTCCAAGCGGGAGGCCCTGGAGAAGACCATGCGGAACAAAATGGACAGTGAAATGAGGAGGCTGCAGGACTTCAACAGGGATCTTAGAGGTGAGAGAGGGCACCCAGAGGGAGGGGGTGGCGAGCATCTGTGGAGGCCTTGATTCCTCTGGTCTAGGGAGGAATGCAGAACCTCTGCCCTCTGCAAAAAGAAGTGTGAAGTGGCTCAAAGGGGGCCAGTGTGAAACTCCCTGGGAGCCACCTGGACAGGGGGATGCTTGTGTCTGTCCTACGCCTTGGAGCCTCTTGTGGAACCCTCACCCGTGTGGCCCAGAGTCTCCTTCCTTGTCAGGCCCTGAGCGCACCCAGGGCTTCCCTATCAACCCCTCCCTGGTTTGGAGGGTGCAGCCCCATAGACAAGACCCCAGGGGACACCCGCGCAGGCAGCTTCACCTGATACTCGAACATCTTTCCTTAAAACATTTTTCCTTCATTTGAAACAGAGAGATTGGAATCTGCCAACCGCCGTCTGGCAACCAAGACCCAGGAGGCCCAGGCAGGAAGTCAGGACATGGTGGCCAAGCTGCTTGCTCAGAGTGAGTAGGGCTCCCACTCAGACGCCTGGACAGATAAGTGGGTGGTGAGACCGTGGCAGTGACAGGGGACACAGGAGGATCGGCCCTCTCTGCTGTCAGAGCAGTGCTTCGAGCACAGGATTATGGAGTGCCTACTCTGCACCCAGCCCTGAAGTGTCCTGGCTGGGAGGGGTGGCTTCCAGAGAAGAAGATCTGGTTCTGTATTTACTGGAGAGATGAGTGGCTACCAGAGGGACCACTGTGGCGCAGTGACTTGCTGGGCTGTGGTGCCATGTCTGTAGAGTACCCTTCAGAACTCAAGGTGCACTGGGCAGTGGGGGAGGCCGGATAGCCCTGGAGGCGAGTGGGAGCAGAGAGAAGGAATGCTGGGTTCCCCAGGGCATTCCAGGCAGCGGGAAGGTTAGGGGGGCCCAGTTGGAATGTGAGAAGCTGGGGAGCATGATGCAATTGGGACATAACAAGCTGGCCAAGTGGGGGTCCCCGCAGACAACCGCAAGTGGGTTCCTGGAGCTTAACCAGCAGGTACAGTCTGAAGAAGGGGTTTAGGAAGCTCCTCTAACGGGGAGGGTGGAAAGCTTCTGGAAGACAGTGGATGAATTCCCTATTGACTAGTCTATTCAATCAGTCATTTGTTCATTAGCAGCACCATGCTAAGCCCCTGTCAGGAATTGGGCAGAGGGTAGGTGCAGGCCCTGGAAGGTACCAGGGCAGAGAGGTCAAGTGAGAGGGGTTGAGCTTGAGAAAGAAGCAGGGTCTTCTAACTACAGATTCAAGGGAACAGAGGTGTCCCTGGCCTTGGAGACTAGTGACTGGGAAGTCCCCACTGGCCTGAGAGAGAGGCTCTGTGGGGATGGCTGGGGGCTGGTGCAGTGGGATGGCACAGGTGGAGGTGCATGGAGTGGGACTAAAGGAAGCCCTGAGCTCAGCAGCAGGAAGAAGCTCTTCTAGACAGAGAGGCAGTAAGTTCCTACTATGCTATAGTGGTGTTTGGGCCTTTGCAGAGATATGGGATGGGGGTGGCTGGTGTCCTGGTGAGGGTGGCTTTGAGGAAGCCTAGTATGTATGAGGGGCCTGGGTAGTATGGGGTGTCCAGAAGTCGAGGAGCAGCTTGAGGACTGAGCTCTGGCTAGTAGCACCTCCTCCTTCCTCAAGGAGGGCTCAGAGCCCAGAGCCCCGGACAGAGCTGTCCAGAACAGCGAATGGGGGGACGCGACACTGAAGGGATTGGGGGGGGGTGGGGGTTGAGCAGGACGTAGGCTAGGCCATAAAGAGCGGAGCAAGGTGGCAATGACTTTGGGTCCCTGGAGAGAGGTGATGGTGGTGGGGAAGGACAGGGAGGGGGCAGCCCTTAGTGTAGCCCTTGGAAGTCTGGGGGGATGGGTTCCTGGCAGGAGGCAGAATGGGGGTGTCCTGTAGGAGAGGGTAGGCTTTGGGGGTGCGATGCTGCCGCAAAAAGGAAGTCACTAGGCAGGTCTCTGGGAGCCGGCAGAGGAGGGGTGAAGGGGGGAGGCCGGCCTGGAGGCGTTTCCGTTCCCCGGGGAGCGAGAAGCGCCAGGCTGTTCTTGGCTTCTAACTGGAGCCATTAATCTGGAAGCCGCGGGTGACCTGGATGCCTGGCATTCCTGGGCCGTGGGGCTGTTCCGCTCCGGCCCGCACCCCCCCCCCCCCGCTTCCTCCCGCGCGGCCCAGAGCGACTGGGACAAAGGGACAGGGCTGGTGGGCCGAGCGGTGGCTTTCTCCAAGGTGGAAGGCGTATCCCCCTTCTTCCTGCGCAGCTCAACCTTCCTGCCTGCCCTTGGCCCCCTCCCCGTCTCCCACCCCGGCCCAGGAGCTCTCCCAGCAGACAAGACAAGCCCGTGGTTTCATGCCAGTAGCTGGGGATGGCCGAGGCTGAGGCCTGCCAGCCCCTGCCAGGGCCTTAGAGGTGCAAGGCAGCAGGAAGCTGTGGGAGACATAAGGCTGGGTCCCCCCACCCCTCGCCAAGGGCTGAGGAGAGCCAAGCAGCTCTTCCTTGTTCCTTAGTACCCATGGAGAAGACACAAAGCTCCCAGGGAAAAAGTCTAGGGTTGACCTCACTTTTTCTGGGGTCAGTCAACAGTAGTAGGAAAGTGTGATCATTGTCCCCAATGCCTGCTTTTGGTACAGACCCCCGGCTTTGGCTGCTCTGGTCTGGCCCTGCCCTCCACTCCCTGGGGATATGGACTTGAGTCCTGAGCCTAGCTCTCTCAGCAGTTTCCCGTTGGGCATTTCCTTCTTGCCAGAGCCTCAGGTTCTGGGACTAGAAGATGGGGCAGTCATGGTAAGACTGGGATTCGAGGCTGCTGCCCGTTAAATTCTGTAAGCCGTGGGCTCTTAGAGCACATACAGGAAGGGGTCGTTGCTTCTAGGCCCAAATCCGCAATCTACTCTCTGCCCACCCCTCCACCACACTCCTTAGACGCTAATTCAGCCCCCTTAGGATGCCTCAATTTCAATATTATTGAGCTTCCTCATCTTTTTCCTCCACACCAAAGAGTAAAGCCAGCCTGGGCCCGGCCTTGAAAAAAATCCAGATTGAGCCGGAGCTGACCTGGGTTGCCTGTGTCCTCCTTCTCCTGCCCCAGGGCCCTGAGTAAATGAATCCTCCCTTTGCCTACCCAGGTCCCAAGCCTTCACTCTTCTATTCCAGAACCTGTCCCATGTGATAGGTACTCAGCTGCATGTGGCCCAAAGATTAAAATTAATTTAAATAAAAGGAAAAATTCGGTTCTTTCCTCACACTAGCCATATTGCAAGTGCTCAGTAGGCACGAGGGGCTCATGGCCCTTGGGCACAGGTTGGCACAGTACAGAACAATTTTATTACAGTAGAAAATTCCACTGTACTGTGAGAGTGCTGCTTCAGAGACCGTGCCTTTGAGTTCATCAGGCAGGCCCTAGAGCCCACCCCCTTCTGCCCTCCAGTGAGGCGGGGCCCTCCCCCCACCCCGACACCCTCTGGGGGGGGGCCAGGCTCGATTCCCAAAGGGCAGGTGAATGGGAGGTGGATTTACACCTAGGGCATCAGCTGGAGGACTGCATGGTCTGGCTTGGGTCTTGCTTGGCCCCACAATGTGACGTGGGCCCCTGAGCAGAGTTCTCCCGGCAAGCAAAAAAGATGATTTAAAAGTTGGGATAGCTAGGATCTTAGACACAAATCTTTGGACTGTAGTCATTTTCATTATGCTGCAAAGTTTGCATTTCTTTATGAGCCCTGTTGCCTACATCTCAGTGGTCCCCCAGACCAAGGAAGGAAATGTAGCACTATTCTGGGGACCCCCACAGAATGAGTCCTGGAGCCCACTTTGAGAGGCCTCTGGGTGTGAGGGCCTCCCACCACAGCCAGAAGCATCCTGGTCCTTTGGAGGCCAGGCTGCCTTGGGTCCCCACTTTAGCAGCACCAGTCACCTGTGTTTCTTCCCCACTATGTTGGGGGTCACATACCCTACCTCGAGGGGCTTCAGGGGAATGAGATGTGTACGTGCCTGGCTCGTGGTGCAGCCAGTGGAGCTTCTTCTCTTCCCTGTTCCTTCATTCTCTCACTGGAACGATGGTCCTGTCACAGTCCACCTGCGCCTTCTCATCCGTCATGGGTTCCTATCACAGTTCCTATCAGGCCAGACTCTAGTGTCATCATGAGGCTCAAGGAACATTGTGAATGTGTTTTGGAAATGGTGACACCTGGCACAAGTAGACAGTGTTTGGGGCTGCTCATGTCCCAGCAGAGACGCAGTGTGGCCCGGTTACTACTGCAAGGGCCCGGGGCCAGTGCTGCCATTTATTTGTGACGTAACCGGCCCCTCCCGCATGTCCTGGCGGTGGTGATGACAGTGCCTACCTCCTAGGGTTGTGGAGAGGATACGATGCAGGCAGGCTGGTCCGGCCCTCAGTGCAGAGCCTGGTATGCGCCAGGCGCTCGGTGGGACTGCCGCGGGGTTGCTGTCCCTGACCGAGGCCCCCCGCCCCCCGCCCCCCCCCCCAGGCTACGAGCAACAGCAGGAGCAGGAGAAGCTGGAGCGGGAGACGGCCCTGCTGCGCGGCGCCATCGAGGACCAGCGGAGGCGCGCCGAACTGCTGGAGCAGGCTCTGAGCAATGCGCAGGGCCGGGCCGCTCGAGCCGAGGGGGAGCTGCGCAAGAAGCAGGCCTACGTGGAGAAGGTGGAGCGGCTGCAGCAGGCCCTGGGGCAGCTGCAGGCGGCCTGTGAGAAGCGGGAGCTGCTGGAGCTCCGTCTGCGGACCCGCCTAGAGCAGGAACTCAAGGCCCTGCGTGCACAGCAGGTGAGCTCGGAGACGCGGCAAGCTGGCGGGGGAGGGCGCGCAGGAGAACGGCGGCAGCGAGCTGGCGGGGGAGGGCGCGTAGGAGAACGGCGGCAGCGAGCTGGCAGGGGGAGGGCGGCATCTGAGGAGGCTGGTTCCAAAGTCCTGGGGGGTCCCTGCTGAGATCCAGTTGGAGGCGCCCTTGGAAAGCCGGGCTGATCCGTGTTCCAGCCTTGCCCCCAGCTCCCCCCAGCCACCAGCCTTAGAAGAGGCTTCGCCTCTTGGCCGGGTGCCAGCCGTGGGGACTCAAGACCTGGGCTTCGGTCCTCAGCAGCAGCAGGGCTGAGCATCCTTGGTCTCTCAAGAGAGTGGCCCAGGAGCCTTGATGCGGAAGACTAGCCAGCTCTTAGGTGTCTCCCCAACATGGTGAGGGCAGATGGTAACCCAGATCCTGAGTCCTCATCCTCTCTTTGGGCTGTGTTATGGTAACTCTGGTGTTTACACGCCAGATAGAGTTCTGTCGCCACTCCCCACTGTACCCTTCCCACCGAGGTAGAGTGACCACAGGCCCTGGACTGCCCAGGTGGGTCCTAGTCTACACCAGTTGTCACAGTGTAATTATTAAGAGCACCCCTTTCCCAAAGTGGAGGATACTTTCTTGGGTCCCCTATGCAGAGGCAGGCCTGATCTTTCCTGCGCCCTTGTCCACGGGGGTGTGGGGAACCACGGCACCTGCTTCATCTTCGGTAGCTGCGGGACACAGGGGCAGGTCTGCCGGGAAGGGCGAAGGACGCCCCTGTGCATAAGTGAGAGCCCTCGTGCAGGGGTGAGGACCCGTGGCTACCGCACCCCAGCCTCTGCCCTTGATCACAGTGCTCCCTTCTCCACAGAGACAGGCAGGCCCCCCCACTGGTGGCAGTGGATCCCCAGAGCTCAGCGCCCTGCGGCTGTCAGAGCAACTGCGGGAGAAGGAGGAGCAAATCCTGGCGCTGGAGGCGGATATGACCAAGTGGGAGCAGAAGTATTTGGAGGAGCGTGCCATGAGGCAGTTTGCCATGGACGCAGCCGCCACAGCCGCGGCCCAGCGCGACACCACCCTCATCCGCCACTCCCCCCAGCCTTCGCCCAGCAGCAGCTTCAACGAGGGCCTGCTCACTGGCGGCCACAGGCATCAGGAGATGGAAAGCAGGTTGGGTATTGGCATTGCCCCCCCTGGGGTGGGGGCGGGGGTGCACTGCCCAATCCCTGCCATGCCCTTAATCCCTGATAAACGCCCCTCTGGCCACGAGGCTCAGCAGGCCCTCACCTTCTGGGCCGATCCCGCATGTCTGGCACACCAGGCATCACGCACGTGTTCTTTCCCAGAGATACCAACCGACTCCTTGGTCTGCCCAGGAGACCTTGGCTGTGGAGGCGTCAGATGCCATCCAAGGCTCTGGCCTCTGCCTGCTCCCCCACCCCCACCCCCAGTCAGTCGGAGAGTAAGACTTTCCAGCCGAGTCCAGAAGGAAGGTGGACTCGGTCCCTGGCTTCGGATAGCTAGTATTTTCTTTCCAAAAACAACCTCAGAGGCCCCACAAGATTTCTGTTCGACCTATGTCCAACTCAAAAGCACAAGCACATCAGCTGAGCCCATTGGATGGTCAGCAGCTCTGGGGTATTGCCCCACCGGGCAAGGGTCGTGCCGTTGCTGTCATCCGATGAATCCAACCCACCCCTTGACCTGCCTTTGCTGCCGTAAGAAGGGCCCAGTGCTCGCGCACTGGTAGTTTTCAGGGCTTCGGATTTCAGAACTCTGATGACATTTCTGAAGGCTCCCTCCAGCTTTCATGAGGTGGGGAGGGTAAAGGCCACTGGATTTGCGGGTCTGACCATGTGAGCGTGGTCTGTCGCCCCTCAGGTTGAAGGTGCTCCATGCCCAGATCCTGGAGAAGGATGCAGTGATCAAAGTCCTTCAGCAGCGCTCCAGGAAAGAGCCGGGCAAGGCCACGCAGGGCTCCCTGAGGCCCGCCAAGTCTGTGCCGTCTGTCTTCGTGGCTGCCGCGGCAGGGACCCAGGGCTGGCAAGGTCTTTCCTCTAGTGAGCGACAAGTGGATGCCCCTGCCCGGCTGGCTACAGGTGCGAGGAGGCGGGTGGGAGGCAGAGGTAGAGGGCTAGGTTGCTGTCAGGCCTTTGCTCCCAGAACTGAGACTCAGAGGAGTTGGGGCTTCCTGACCCCTTGCCCGAGGGAGCCAGCTTCCACGCTGGCTGCGGTGACCCTCCAGCCCACAGCTATCCTGCTGGTGTGAGGGGGCATGCTCTAGTCCCCATCTCCGTAAATTCCAGCACCCTGGATCCCAGCCACTTGCCATCTAAGCAAAAATAGAGCTTCCTGGGCAGATGCACCTTGCAGGCAAGCTCCTCTGCTCCTCCGTCTGAGCAGATGCCACAGAAATTCCAGAGTCCCCGCTGGTTTTAAGATTCAACGCGCTAAGAAGGGTTCTGCCACTTAAGAGGTCTGGAAACCAGTCCAACCTGATAGTTATTCCTATTTGGAAACAGGAGTCCCGAATCTTAATCGAAGTTCGTGCAAATCAAGAGCAACCCGTACCACCTCGTGCCCCCAGTTGGTATGGTTAATTTGAGCTGTCCTTCATGGGGCTACCACTGCCTTCGTGAGGCAGTCACTGTCGGTCTCCTGCCTTTCCAGCAGACCGGGCCCCCGAGGAGGAGCCAGTGGTCACAGCTCCGCTCCCTGCTCATGCCAAACACGGGAGCAGAGACGGGAGCACCCAGACCGACGGTCCCCCGGACAGCGCGGCCGCTTGCCTGGGACTGGATCCCGACAGCCTCCTGGGGTACGGGGGGGGCCAGAGAACGGCCTCACTGGGTAAGTGCCCCTTCCCGGGACTTCTGTGCTGCGCAGGGCTGCGGGTGTGCTGGGGTGTGAGCTGGAGCACCAGGCTCTTTGTTCCCAGATCCCGTGGCTCACTGCACTCCACGGGGAGCCGTGCACAGTGCTGGCGAGCAGGCTGCGCGGGCCACCTGCGTGTGGACGTGAGGGCCGGTTGGATGCACGGATGGGAGGAGCCGAAAGGCCTGATCACAGATCCCGAGTTCAGAGAGAGAGCGCCTGCGCAGGAGGCGCTTCGTCTCCTCCTTCATAGCCTGCCTTACATATTTCCTTGCCAATCTAAGCATCTAAGATCATGCAGCTTGGCGAGTGACCTGATGGCAATCTCCAGTTAGAAGAGTTTGTTTAAAAAGAGTCCAAGACAGAGATATTTGAGAAGATGGCCTTTTAAATGTTTTCTTCCCTTTCACATTAGCCCTCGGGGGTGGGCCTGCGCCTCACTGTCCCAGAAAACCACAGGCTCGGGAAGAATGCTGCAGCCTCCCTCTGTCCCTCAGGGCTCCCCCTCCCTCCGAGCCTCCAGCCAGTTGAAAGTTATAAATAAATGTGTCTTCCACACTGGACGTTGACGATCTGGGTGGAGAGCTGGGGGCGCAGAGCTTGGTGCTCGGTTGGCCAAGCCGGCGGGGGGTGGGGGAGGCAGGGGAGGGAACCTGGGCAGCTGAGGAAGGCCCTGTTGGTAAAGCGAGATCCTATCTTAAAAATGTGCCAGGATTTAAAAGGGCAATCTTGTAATGCTCACTGGCATTTGCCCGTGCTCTTGTCTCTCTCCAGACTCTGTTGCTACATCCAGAGTCCAGGACTTCTCGGACATGGTGGAGATACTGATCTGAAGGAGGTAGTGCTCGGGGACTCCGAACCATACCCTGTCTCCTCTGCCCTCTGCTACTCTCAGCCATTCCAGCAGCCCCTCCATCTGCTGCTGCCCCGCTTTCCCCACCTAGGCATTCACTCCCATTGACCGTCTGGTGCCCGGGGCTTAAGGATGCTGCAGGGGTGAGGGGGAGCCGTGAGAACGCCTGCATGCAGAAGACCCTGCTTCTTAGCCCCACATCCCTCCTGAGCCCATGCAGAATGAGGATCCCCAGGCTTACTGTTGGGGTAGCAACTGGAAACCCAGAAGGGAGCTGAGCCTTCTCGGGACCCCCAGTTGGCACTCAGGCAGGGAGGGAAGGCATATATTGGTTTGGGAGAGTGATTTCCCAAGATGGCTGCCCATGGACCCCAGATGGGCTGGTTCAGTACAGAGTCGGCCGTGCTGTTCCCCTGTGGCTAAGTGTGGTCCCAGCCCACCTCATCTGCTCCTCAGCTCCTCACTGCCTCCTTGAGATTGCTGAGACTTGCATCTTCAGGGGACTATTGAGGGTGTTAGTCCTGCAGAAGCCACAGCCTCGCCCCCTCACTTGAAGTGGGTAGGGGCCATTTAAGTGGACTGGGATAAGCTGTGCAGTTTGTACATAACCCACTTTCTTACGGAACAGAAGATTGAGGCATGCCGCTTCAGATTTGTGCCCTCTCTGTTCCCCTGTCCCTGCCACCACGGTTCCTGTAACTGCTGACTAGCCTCCCAGCTCTCTGCCCTTCTCGAGTTCTTGGCCCACGGATTTTGATACTGGTTGATCCACGTGACATTGGCTGTCTTTTCCTCCACCTTGAGCCTTGTTTTGAAATGCCCACGGGACCCCTATCACCAGCCTCTTGACATGGCTCCACAGCCCCTGTCCCTGGGACATTCTGTCGGTTTGGTTATGAACCCTGAGCCAGATGAAATGAGCCGCCACAGACAGACATCTGCCACGGGGGGGCTTCCCAGCACCAATTCTCTTGAAGGAAACTGGATAAGTTGCCTTATTCTCATCAGAGTCTTCGTTCCCACCTGGAGGGATTGGGAGAGGGAGCTACGCTGGTGAAAAACTGGTCAATGAGCTACAAGATGTGACTCAAATCGTCTCTGGATGGAGCCCCCGTCACAAAATGGCGCCCATGAGGCTGGCTCCTCAAGCTACCGGCGAGCAGTGCCCGGAAGCAGGGCCAGGGCTTTGGAATCAGACCTGCCAGCAGCCGTGGCTTCGACTTCGGGTCTTAGAGAGTCCCCCAGCTCAGCCCCAGGACCGATGGGTGGGTTTTAGTAGTTTGTCTTGACTGTTTTTAGTTCTCCTTGAATCTTTGTTTTTTCCTTTACTGTTTTTAAGTTCGGTATGTGTTCTTTTATTCCCGTGATTCCTCAAGTTTCCTTTTTAAACATTTGCATTTGCTGGACAATTGCATATTTTTTTAAATCCCTCTACCCTTCTTTAAAGCTGAAAAATACATTTGGTTCATGTGCATTGTTTACAAAGCAAGAAGAAAAAAAGAAAAAAAGGCAAAAAAATATCGTGAAAGAAAAAAAACAACTTAATATATTTTGGATTAATATTTGGTATTTCTTTTAAAGTATTTTTTGTGCTGTGAACGTTTTCTGCCAAAGACCATGATGTGTGTCTGTATGTTTAAGTTATCGTAAATATTTAAAATGTAAACATGGCTGTTTTGTTATGCCACCCTGTACCAGGACTGCTGCTGCATTCCACTGGGTATAACAGTATTTTAATAAAAAAATAATAATAATTAGAATCGGTGTCTTTGCCCAAGTGAGAGACTACACTGGGACAGAAAGGGGGAAAGGAAAGGGTAGAGGAGTTGGCGTGTCACCCGTGTATATCGTCCCTGAGCACTCTTGCCTCTGAACGCCCCCACTCCCCCACCCCATGCTCCCCAGTGCCTTAGTCCTTAAAACATTGGCCAGACCATGCCGATGAGTGGCAGCTCAGGGTCACTGCTGTTTCTTGAACATAATGTTTTTCTGCCTGGGAGAGTCTCACAGATGGGCAGCCTCCCATGGGTAGCTTTGTCCTAGCTGGTTTTGTTTGACCACATGCTGTGGTTACTCCACAGTAGGATTGGGTGTCCAAAGGCGGCTTTATCCTTCCCCCCAGCCCCACCCAGCACAAGGAGTCCCAGAGCTGTGCAAGAGCCTGGGCACCATGCTTGCCCTCTGCCTGGACACGAGCAGAGGGTGTTCGTGTGTGTGGCGCATTCTGGGGCCCTGCCTCGTGACCTTGCTGTGGTATCACCACTCTTGCCCTGTGCCCAAGAAAACATGTCACTCTGATCCATAAAAGAGAAAACCGTTCTCAGTCTCAGATGTTACAGTAGAAACAAAGTATCTGTCTCCGTGGGCCAGTCAGGACAATCAGGTTCCCATTCGGGATGTGGGCTAGCAGTCGGGCTGACCACTGGGCAGCAGGCAGCCCTACAGGTTGTGGGCACTTGAGGGAAACAGTTAGCACCCATGGCTGTGGGTGAAGTATTTTCTGGGCAAGTGTAGGGACTCGGCAGTAATGTTGATGAGCAACCCAGTAGGATCCGAAAGAACATGTCCCTGAGCCAGCCTACCTGCCCGCATGAAAGGGAATCCAACAAGTAGAAGAATTGGGACTATTCAAGGACTTTTTCCAGCAACTTTGCATCCCCGACTTGATGGGCCCCAGCAGATAGAGAGCTCTCCACGCAGGATCCCTACCCAACACGAGGCCGGTGCAACAATCCCCACCCAGTGGCCACACCAACACCCGAGCCCTCTCCAGCCTGCCTCCCACCACCCGCGCAGCATCAATGCCTGTCTTCCTGTTAATCAGGCCCTGGCTTAGGGTTTGCTGTGTGGACGGTTTGCTCTCTGAGGATGCACGCCACAGAGCTCCTGTTCCCACAACGCTTTCCTCAACCACATCAGCCCACAGCTGGATTTGCTAAGACGTGGTGTCCCAACAAAATGGCGGTGCCCGTAAAGAATGCCCTTGGCAAAGACGTTCCTGTTCACCTCCACCTGCCCCCAGAAGAGCTCTGGGAGGGCAGCCCACACCTGGGTACAATAAGCCCTGACGAGACTGCCATCGCATCCCCAGCACCTTTGGCCAGGGACTCTCAAAGCATCTGTGCCTTGTGTAGGAGCTAGTCTGGTAAGTCATTCTAGTATTTCCTTGGCACAGACCAAGAGGGACCAAGAAACCATCCCATGCGTCCAGCACATGTGCATGCATGTGTATTTGTTTATGTGTCTGGGCACATGTGTGCCTGAGCCTGTTTACAAAGATGTGAAGGACACCAGTATCTCCTGCTGGAGCCCTTGTAGGGCAGTAGGGCCCTCTAGCCACAGGGCCACCGGTGCGTCTGAGGAGCCATTTCTTCTCAGAAAAGGGGTTGAGTAGGCATCTCAGTCACTTAGAAATTCAGCCTAACAAAGTTCTGGAACTGGCAGGACTGTAGGCTGTGCTGGGGCTGGGCAGGCCTCTGGGGACAGGAGTGTTTGCCTGTGTGCCCTGGCATCTGTGATAAGGGAGCCTGGGTCCCACGGGTGGCTCTGCTGGGCCCTTTGGAGGCCAAGTTCCTCTGCGAGGGACAGCCCTGCCCTGCCTGCCCCGCCCTCATCCAGCGTCTCCGCTAACAGGGCTGGGGGTGTGGCTCAGAGGGGCCCCACACTACCTGCCCTAGAGGGCTGGAAGGCCACCTGTCCCGGCCATCTCTCTCTCTCACCTCCCAGTTAATCGTTAACTCTTCCCCTGGCCCGGGCAGGTGTCAGGCTCAGAGGGCTTGGCAAAATGTGCCAATCTAGGGGCAGTAAATTGGGGCCCAGCCGCCCAGAAATGGCGGAAGCCACTTCACTGCTCCCAGGGACCCCAGCTGGACAGGAAACTTGTTTGCAGTGCCACCGTCTTGTTTCCTACTCAGTGGGGACGCAGCCAGGAACCAGGGGTCCCTGAACAGCCTTTGCTGTGTGGCTGATGCCTCAAGAGGCAGCCCAGGAACCTGGCACCAAGTAGTGCCTTCCTGCACCCACCCTGCCCAGATCCAACGGAAGAGAAAAGCACCATGGCAACCAGGCTCTCCGCATCCCTTTGGTGGTTTTTTGTTGTTGTTTGCTTGTTTGTTTTTGAGATATAAATCACATATCATAAAACCCACCCTTTCAAAGTCTACAATTTAGCGGTATTTTATATCACAGCATTCATTTTAAACCAGCGGTCAAACATGGGTCATCAGCGAATGCCCCACCAGTGGGCCCGATGGACAGAATTAGAAGTGCTATTTGATCTGGCACATTCACACTCGTCACCTCTGATTTCTCAGGATGACACTTTGACCTTTCTATAGCTGACAGTCTCCTTCCACCTGGCCCAGCTCAGCAGCTCCAGCTCACCCCACACTGGGCCGCAGAGAGGACACGGGCTCCCCTGCACCAGAGCCTTCCACCATCGTACCACTCCCCCACCCCCGGCTGCCAGGGCAGAGGTCCTGGCCAGAGATTTGAGAAGGAGACCTGTGAGTCCTGTGAGCCCTGACCCCACTAGCGGGATGGGTTCAGTTTTATAAGCCTGAAGCTTATATAATTTGGGGAACTTTTTAAGAAAAAGAATGCAGAATGGGCAAATACAAAATTAGGCCTAAGGTCTTGGAAGGGGCTTTTTTAAGCAGGCATCTGGAGGCATAAGCTCCATTAACTTCACAGTACATCTGTATCCAGGCATGGGCTTCGTGTCTCTCCAAAGGAAAGATTCTCTGGGAGGCACCACCCATGACTCCGGCTCAACCTTGTCTCTCCCTGATGAGGCTCGAGGCTGAGGATCAATGAAGCTCCAGTTTTTCCCCACCCAGGACAGATAGAGTGGTGCTTCCACGTACCCACCTTAACCTAACCCTCTCCCCAGGGGACAGCGGTGCCCACACAAGGGGACCTGGTGTCCAGCATGGAGATATCACCACGGAGCCTGAACAGTAGGGCTCACTGGCTTGCCAGGGACCAGAGCTGTGGCTGGCCCAGGTCTGTGCCCTGTTCTCACCTGCCAAGCAATCTCCAGCCCCTAGCCAGAGTTTGGCAGAGGGGGAGCCCTCTGCCAGTTAGCTCCTTGGGTGCCTGGGGAGCCATGCCACTCCGCGGTGGCCCTGACATTCTCTGCACATTCTTTACTCCGAGGGCCTGTCAGCTTTCGATTCTGACCTGCCACACGTCACAAACTGTCCTCAGATAAATGCCTCTCGCAAATCCAAAGGCTCCTACCTGGAGCCACATTCCAGATGGTTGAGCAACAATGTGGACGCCTCCCTGCACAGGTTTGCCTCTTCTTGCATTAATGTGGCTGCTTGTCCGGCTCCGGGAGGCCCTGCCCGGTCTCTGCTCTGCAGCCTTTCCTTGCTCAACACAGTGCGCTGTGGAAACCATCACGGCATGTTGCGTCAGTGGCGAGAATGCCAAAACCTCAGCCAGAGAACGACTAACAGCACAGGACACAGCTACGGGGTGCCCTGGAAGCTACAGCAGCCTTCTTTCATTTCAAAGAAGAAAAACAGCCCTCCTTCCCAGAGGCTTTTCTCTAAGGTTTGGGTTCTCTGCCTCAGCAAGAGTGACTTCTCTTTACCCATCCTCTTTCTCTGGAAGTGGGTGCCCTCGCTTCCCTCCCTCCCTCCCTCCTTCACTCGCTGCCGTCACAGGTGTCTGCCGAGCGCCCACCGTGTTCCCAGCACTGTGGCAGGCACCGAGGGCGCAGCGATGAATGAAGCCGCCTCTGTGTCCCGAGACCTTTATGTTCCTACCATCTGTTTTATCTTTATACCCCGTGCTGAGGCCGGCACAGGGGCGCTCCTAAGTGTTGGCTACGAGAGCAGTCTTGACAAGAACTGGCCCCCGTCTACGTTTCTGGCACCGGATGCCATCACCCTCCTGTGCACACCCGACCACATGGACGCTGGGAAAATGGCCCTGAGTGCCCTGTCGTCTCTCCGACCGCCAGGCCTTTGCACGTGAGGTCCCTTTTCTCTGGAAAGCCTTCCTCATCTCTCGTCTCCATCTCTTGGCCTGTTTAAAACTCATCCATCAAAATCCAGCTCGAGCATCACGTCCTCCTGGCTGCTTCCCCTCTCAAATTCCCTGATGTTCCCCAGGACCCTGAGAGGGACGTATGGGGGAGACCTGCAGACTGAGCAGACATTAGTCCGTGGCTCTGCTGGCTTGACAGGGAGCAGCTGAGAAGATATAACCGGCCTTTTTGACTAGACAGAGGTGACTCCTTGTCCCCGTGTCGGGGTCACAAGTGGCCCTGAACACTGCCCAGACAGGAGCCCCTTAGTATGTTTTGGCTAGAGGGCCCACTCCCCTCCTTGTGGGCCAACCCCCCCCCCCATTCATTGGAGGTAGGGGAGGATGAAAGGGACTCTGTGGGTGGAGTCTTGGGGTCAGAGAAGGAGAAGCAGAGCCTGAGGGCTGGGGCCAAGGTGGAAAGGAGGGGCTGGGCAGGCAGCTGTGGGTGTGTGAGCCCAGAACCGGCCCTGCAGGATGGCTGGCCCATGAGACAGGCCCCAGCACTGCCAACCACGTGGGGCCCAGGCAGCCCCAGCCGTGGGAACAGCTGGTGAGCCAAACTCCCTCTACCTCCAAGAGAGCCGCTCCTGCCTGGCTCTGCCAGCCCTGGGCTCCCTCCGGGAACAGGCCAGGGGCAGAGGTAGAGGCAGAGAGGAACCCGTTTTATCAGGACGATGTTCCCAGCCATGCCCTATGGTACTTGAGTCCCAGGAATGACTCA